CGTCCACCGGCCGGATCCCCTCCTCCTCCCGGCGACCCGGCGACAAAACCTTCCCCGCACGCTCTGCCGACTCTGCCCCACGCCCTGGCTTGCCCCAAGCCGGGCGCCAGACAAAAGGACCCTGAGAAAAACTTACCCGAACTGCAACGCAAAAGTCTGATCCAAAGCTTCCCGGGTCTAACTTTTAATTTTAAAAACAACAAAAGCAGAAACCAAAAGCCTCCTAGGTTGGAAGTGGGCGTGAGAGGAAATGCTAGGGGGAGGCGCTTCATTCCCTGGGTTGCCTTTGCCTCCCCCCTCCCCTCCTGGCCCCTGCCTGGGGCTTTGATGTTATCTAGTGCACCGCCTACGTCGGTTTATACCTTGGGCTCTGCGCAGAGAACGATGCACAGATATTCCGCACCTCGTCTGCTGGTTAGGAGAGAGGGAAGCAGGTGGTTGTGGCCAAAGACCCAGCCTTCTTACCTCCGCAGCGAGAAGGGGGCATTTGCACCGGCTTCCTTGGGTTAACGTGGACTGAACAATCCACCTAGCTAGTGATCCTGGCGAGTTGGACCATGTGGCATTTTTCTGTTAGAGACACAGAAAGAGGCCTCCTAAATTAGATTCGTTTTTCCCTCCACTCAGAGCACCAACTTAGAACATAGTGGCATTGTATGTTTTCTGAGGCTTTGTTCGGTTTTTGGATCTCAGTTTTGAAAGTAAATATTATTTCTCTTCTGAGATAGTCCTGCAGCCTTGAAGAGACAAGAATAAACCTCTAAAGGCAACACGCTCTACAACAACAAGCCTTACATGCACCATAAATTCCCTTATAGGCCAAGATATCCACACGCCCTCCCCCTCACATTATGGAGAGCTTGTAACTGTTGATTTTATCTTGTTTGTTTGGGCACTAGCAGAAACTGGATATATTTTTACATTAGGTTAGCAGTCTCAGGGCCATCACTAACAAAAACGCTAACGAGAGATTTAAAAAAAAAAAAAACATATTAGTGAAAAAGAGGAAAGGTACTGTCTACCAGTCAGTCTTACCTGTACCTTCACTTCATGCCAACACCAGCCAGTGTTCAGGCCCTACCCTCTGGGAATTTACAAATTAATGGAGGCAGGATAAACACATGGAAAAATACCTAGAGGGGAAAAAAGATATAAGCAGCAGCTTATAAACAGGGCCAATTAAAGTTATACAGAGTTATTTACATGATTGCTGAGAGGTTTCTGGTTGAGTGGAAGACAGGATCATCAGAGAAAGTTCCATACTGAGTGAGGGTGAGTTCTCAGCAGGATTTTGAAGGAAAGAAAGTCCACAATTTGGCAATGGTATAAGAACAGTGTTCCAGGAAGGAAAAGAACCTGAAGGTGAGAGCTAGTTCACTGCGTGTGGTGGTTTTTCCTCTTAGAGCAGAAAGTTGCAGCAAACGTGAAACAATAGCACCCAAGTCAGACCTCTTTTGGAAAGTGAAAGGGGGAAGCTATTAATAATTATACCCAGATGATTGACGTACACCTGGACTGTCCTGGGCAAAGGGGATAGGTTCATTCTCTAGTCGTGAGCTATGAAGACAGAATGAGCAGGCAACAGGCAACCAAAGAAGAGGATCATCATTTGGAAGGAATTAAGACATGGCATTGCAAACAGTTGGTAGTCGTTTGGAGACATCTGGCTTAAGAATGGTCTTTTTAAGGAAAGTCATTGTCACTGATGAATTTAAGATAGTTATGAAGGCTGGTTATAAAAACTGCAGTAGTGTTTGCATTAGCAGTAGTAGAAGTGGTGGTGGTAGTGGTTAACAGTTATTGAGCATATGTCTTGCCTTTTCTGTGTGAACTCATTCCACCCCTGCCATAAACCTATACTTTAAAAATGCGAAATAAGCCGGGCTCAGTGGCTCAGCCTGTCATCCCGTGCCTTGGGGAGGCTGAGGTGAGTGAATTGCCTGAGCCCGCGTGTTCGAGACCCGCCTGGGCGGCAAGACCTCATCTCTACAATCAATCAAAAAAGCAGCCAGGCGTGGTAGCACCTGCCTGTAATTCCGGCTACTTGGAAGGCTGAGGCAGAAGGATCGCCGGAGCCCAGCAGGTCGAGGCTGCGGTGGCCGGGAGGGGCCACTGCACTCCACTCTGGGCGACAGAATGGGACTCCAACTCAAAAAAAAAAAAAAAAAAAATGCTTAATAATCTGCCTGAAGCCACAGAGTTATTAGTAAATGGTAGATCTATGATTGGAATCCAGAGAATATTCAGAATCTCAAGGATTAATGATTGTATTCTGTGAAACACAGATTACAATAACTTTATAGTATTCTATAACAATGGAACGAAGACGAAAAAGGGATTTTTTTAAAGTCCATAATTTTAGGTCTTGAGAATTTGATAAGGTGTATCTTAAAATGGGGATGTTGGGATGATGTGAGGCTTAAGGGGAAGAAGAGAAAATGTGTTTAATTTTAAGCCTGGATAGTTTTTAGAAAAATAATTTAATTCACATTTATGTCAATGTTGATACAGTTAACCTTGAAAAAGAAAGAGCCTGGTCTCTAACTTCATTGAAAAGTCCTTAATTCAACAGCAAGTAATGACAGTTTAGTGGGTATTATTTGGTGTACTACCTGTTAAAGAGGGGAAAGAAGCCGAAATGTGATTGATAGAAGTGATACCGTTCCTAAAAGAATTCCTCATAAGCAATGTCTTCAAGTTGCATACTGAGGAACACTAGAAGAACAGTGTTCAATGAAAATAATCCAACCTGACTCATGATCTAATGATGTGAAAACATGCAACAATCTAAGACACTGTATTATCTCAGGCCACCATAACAAAATACAATAGATGAGGCCGCTTAAACAACAGACATATATTTCCTCGCAGTTCTGGAGGATGGAAGGATTGGTTTTTCCTGAAGCCTTTCTCTTTGGCTTGCAGACAACCACCTTCTCTCTGAGTCCTCATATAGCCTTTCCTGAGTTTGATCCATATATAGAGAAAGAGAAGGGGAAAGAGATAGTGAGAGGGGAGGAGGAGAAAGAGTGAGAGTGCTCTTTAATGTGGGTTCTTTTAAGAACACTAACCCTGTCAGACTAGGACCCCACCCTTGTGACCTCATTTAACCTAAATTGCCTCCTAAAGACTCTATCTCCAGATGCAGTCACACCTGGAATTAGGGTCTCAACACATAAACTTGGGGTGGTCCGTTGGGAAGCACAACTCAGTCCACAGGAAATACCAAGGGTATACTGACGTGGAATTGCAGATTGAGTTAATGCCAAATCAGGAAAGGGACCTGTCAAGTGCTTGAAGAGGACTTTCTTGTTTCCAGGAAGAATTAGTCCTAAGTAATTCTTAAGACATTGTTTTGTACACTACTCTTTAACTTTTCTAGTAAAATAGTTCTCAAACCTCCTGTGGAAAGCCGTCATGGTATGCACATTGACTGTGCTATAAATAAAGCCATTGTATGGATTGCTGACTGATTTAAGGTCTTATTTTCCTTGTTGTTTCACAATCCGAACATACGTAAATTAAACATTCTTTGTCCTATCTGAATTGTGGATATCCACTCTCCCCCCATATTCTCCATTAATTTTCTTTATAGCATCTAACATTCTAGAATTATCTTATTGGATTCTATGTTTATTATCTCTCAATTCTCAACTAGAACATAAGGGCCATGAGTGAAGCCACCTTGTTTTGTTATCCCTGTGTCCTCAGCACCTAGAAGAGTGCTGAAATAAATGTTTGTTGAATGAATGTGGTAGTCTGAGGCCCTCTCACCTTCCAGGTTAGTTCCTAAGGCTTTCATGTCAATTTAACTGTTCTCTTGTTCTTACATTTTTCTTTAAACATTTTTTTTCCATTTCTGAACTCAAAGTTTTATAGCATCATTAAACGGGTTATGTTCATTTTGTAGAATGGGAAGCCAAAATATGGGGTGCTCAGGAAGATTATAGGTACAATGTCACCAACTGGCTACTGATGACCTCTCGGACACCCTCCTTCTTGCCTTCGTTCTGCTCCCAAATCCTCCCCCTTGTATATCCTCCTCTGGTTCTCACCAGCAACTCCACTGCCTTTTGCTTGCTGTTAATCTTTTTCCCTAGATTAAAAAATAGTTTCTTCTGACTGGACTCAGTGGCTCAGCCTGTAATCCCAGCACTTTGGGCAGCCAAGGTGAGTAGATCGCCTGAGCCTGCAGGTTCGAGACCAGCATGGGCAACTTGGCAAGACCTCATCTCTACAATAAATCAAAAACTCCCTGGGCATGGTAGCATATTCCTGTAGTTCTGGTTACTTGGAAGGCTGAGGCAGAAGGATCACTGGAACCCAGCAGATTGACGCTGGGGTAGCCATGACTCCAATCTGGGCAACAGAGTGAGACTCCAATGCAAAAAAAAAAAAAAAAAAAGTTTCTCCTCTGCTGTAGTTTTGGTAGAGGTTTCATGGCTTAAACATTTTGTAGAAAGAAGGAAGAAAATAAGGAATGAAGAAAAATGAAGGAAAGGGAGGTGTGTGTATATGTGTTTCAAATTAAAAAAAAATATGTCAGGGTAAGGGTTTAAAAAGTAATGTATAAGAAAAGTTATGCACCAAATGCTCCTGGCTCATTCAGTTCACATTCTTACCTTTTCTTTCTGGGGCTATAATTTTTTAATTAAACAGAGTTAAAAATAAGGCCTAAAGATAGACATCATGGCCTGTGGCTGTAATTCCAGCACTTTGGGAGGCCAAGGCAGGAGGATTGCTTGAGCCAAGGAGTTTGGGACTAGCCTGGGCAACATAGTAAGACCTTGTCTCTACAAAAAAAAAAAAAACTAGCCCTATGTACTGGTGCATGGCTTGTAGTCTCAGCTGCCTCAGGAGGTTGAGGCAGGAAAATCACTTGAACCTAGGAAGTTGAGCTGTGGTGAATTGTGATCATTCCATGCCATTGCACTCCAGCCTGGGTGACAGAGTAAGACTCTGACTGGAAAAAAAAAAAGGCATATTTTTGTGAGGAATGGAGAGAGAACAACCACTCTTCTATCTTGGAGAGAATTACCCAATTCAGAGTCTACTACTAATAAACAGTATGCATTAAACATTTACAGGAGGAAACATAGTGACTAAAAGCACGAGCTTCTTAGAAGCCAGCAAGCCTAGGTCAAAGCCCAGCTCTGCCAATTGTGTCATTTGGGGCGATTTATTTGACCTTCCTGTGCCTCCATTTTTTCTTCTGTAAAGTGAATCGTTATAAAGATGAGATGAATTGGTGTTTCTAACATACTTAAAGCAGTGCTTGTCACATAGTGGTAGCTGTGTCTCGAAGTGTCAACCAATGCCTTACTGCATGGTCTGCACTGTGCTAAGTGTGCTTTGCATTTGCTATCTTTTAAATCTTGAAATAAGTCTCTGGAGACTTATCCAGGGAAGCCCAACAACTAAATGTAGCACTACCCTCT